CCCGACAACGTTTCGTCGACTACAAATTTGCCTATTAAATAAAGACGGATTCGCGTAATCGCGAATTCGCCGAATCTTGACCAATTATTGCTCCGACTCCCACGGACTGACAGTCTTTTTTCCGCGCTCGTTATTCCAGCTATTCCGGTTTATCGTTCCCGTTTGCTCAACATTCATTGTACGCTCTGTTTGCGCACGGGAATAGACTTCCGGCCGGAATTTCACGGGATCGTATAAATCTCGCGAAATTTCACTGGTCCGAGAAATGTCAAACGAAGGGGGCACAGTCAAAGATACGTCACGATTATCGTCTCCGCCGTGTTGGCCGTAGCATCACGGACGTATCCCGCCGGCGAATTTACGTTCGCCCGGGCCACGGGAAATTAAATGTCGATAGGGGATGCCGATTTAGTTTGTGGAACGTTCGTACGAACGGTCGCGCGTATGGCACCGCGCGCGTCTGGCCTGGTTGGCCGCAGATAACTAAAATTCACCGTTTATTCGGGCATCGAGCCTTGATTCGAAAAGTTTCGACGTGGATTTCGATTACTCATCCCCGAAGAAGCTTCTAACTGACGTGTCGGACCATACGTCAACGTCCAGATATTTTCGGCCCGTCCGCCGGACGAATTCGATCGGGGAATTACGCCCCGGAAATTATTAGAAAATCCAGAGAGAGAGAGAGTCGTTTAACAACGCCGCGTCGGCAGCGTCCGCTCTACGCACAAATTTTCTGCGCAAATTTTCGTTTAGGCCAAAAGGAATTTTCGTCGAAAGAGCTTCGTAAAAGTTACGAAGTCGCGTATAAACGATTAACCCTTTGCACACGATTATTCGCGCCTTGCAGCTCGTTTTTATAGTTGTTGAGAATTCGTAACTATAAAACGAGGCGCAAGACTCAAATTAATCGTATCTCCTCTCCCCAAATTGTCCATTTTCGTGTGCAATCTGAACGTCGATTAGAGAGACATTACCGTATTAAGTATCTCATTAAGATTTACGCGAACTTCGTTCAGAAGGAGGACGACGACTCGAGTAACAATCCTTTGAAAAATTGATCCCTGGCAATTCGAATGATCGCGAACCGGGCTTGCGGTATTGATCGAGCAGCAGGAACCCTATTCATCTATTATTGTCGGATCAATGACACGCGTTACTCCACTTCCACGGAGCTGGGAATAGAATCCGTTTTACTTATTCCTCCAGAAATGGATCATCTGGAAACTGCTTTCAACTTCCACTGATTCTTACTTCGATTCTAATAATTGATTATCGTAAAACATTTCTGGGAGAAATTACTGCACTTCTTTCTTCTGGATATAAAAAACTAGCTACTGCGATACAAAATAAACTGAAGCAAGTAACTAGGTAAAAAAAAGTATTGTCAATGCGCGGATCTCTTTTTTCGTCGGCAACCGAACGATTCGCATCGTTCATAGTTTTCGTCCGCCCGGAATGAACCGCGCTTGAAAATGAAACACGCCACGCGGCCGTGGGAACCAAAGCCGATTGTGGTTCGCAGACGGGATTCGAAATCCAATTATTGGTTTCTAATAAGCTTGTCGGGCTGAAACCAGACGCTATCTACTTATCCTATCAAACAGCCTTTATTCGGGACCGTTCACTTTCGTGTCCGATCATCCAGCGTGCACGCTGTTTAACGTGTCCGCGGGAAGAAATCGCGTGCCGTTGTGTCGGCGACCAACGTTGGATCACCGTCGACGAAGCGAACGTCCCCGTTGCCGCAAAGACGAGGCTGCTACGGCGGATACTGAATTAAAGAAGCGGTGATTTAGGCGGCGGGACAGCCGCGAGTCCATTAGCAAAAATTAGCATACGCTTCTGTGAGACGCGTTATCGCAAGCAATGGTACGGAAGCCGGAATTATTTTCTCTAATCCAATTAGAGGGACGATAAAAGCTCACGCCCCAGTTTCTGTCCGGGGCGATCGGTCTTCATTAGCCGGACGAACTTTTCCTCCAGCTTAGCTTAAATTAAGCTCGCGTGCTCGTGCTAATCGCGTGATAACGAATCACTTTGAAAACGAGCCGTCGTCCCCCGCGCCCGCCGCCTCTCTCTTCCCAAACCCCGTCTCGTATCCTGTCCCGTCGGGTCGCGTCGCGTGCGCCGAGTATCTCCGGTAAATAGAGTATCGAAAATCGTTTCGTTGCTTTTATTCCGTGAAACAAGGATATTCTGTTGCAGCACAGCTGTCCGTCTCGCGTTAATCCTCGGACGACACCGGGACATCCGAGGCTGCTCGATGCGCCCCACTTTGTTCTTGAATACCCGCTTCGGTCTTCGTTTCGAATTAAACGTCGAGCTTTCGCGATGTAACCGTGGACGACGCCGACATGTACTTCCATGGACCACCGGAATTTTAATAAACATTCGCATTTTAAACTGAAAGCTTGTGCTTGGAGTAAATAATAATTCTTCCGCTTTCTTTTACGTCCGCAAGAAGCGTGAATCGCGGTGCAGTAATGTCTCCCTTATCGACGCTCAGATTGTCTACAAAAGTGGACGATTTAGGTAGAGGAGATACGACTATTCGATCCTTGCGGTTCGTTTGTTATAGTTATGAATTGTCAACAGCTATAAAAACGAGCTGCGAGGCTCGAATAATCGTATCTTCGCTTCCCAAATTGCCCATTTTTGCGGACAGTAAGGGAGATCCGAGCGTCGGTAAGGGAGACATTACTGTACTTTGTTAACAGCTGTCACTGAGACAGATTTTGGCGAGATCAAAGTGGATTCTCGAGATCCACTTGGTCATTGAGAGAATTTGCAACGCAAAGAGTTATTAAAAGTGGCCACGTGAACAAATTTTGATCAACGAGCAGGGAAAACAATTCATTTGTTTCATAAATGTATTAAAAATCGGTAGATGTTGCTCGACGAAACGTTAATGCATGCTCGCCATAATTTAACATAAAAATATCAGACTTGATAAATTAACATGCATTAATTACAGAAGTTCCGTGAAGTATGTTACTGCAAAAGTATGTTAATTTTTGCGCTTTTATTGGACGCGTCCGGGAAATGATAATGTAAAAAAACACTCTCTGAAATATTTGTATAAAATATAAAAGAATACAGAATATTCTAACGGAACGGATATGCAACGTGCTTCCGTGAAAATCGAGTAGGGCGACTCGAGTGTGCGAACTCCTTGTTAGTCGAAGAAGCGAAGTGGATTTACCAATGATCGGAAGAGAGATCTTCTCGCAGTGGATCGCGAACGCTTGGCACAATTTCGAAGTTGAGCTCGGTTTCATAACATTGGGGATCGCTTTTTGGGAAACTCTAACTCGGTCAGACAGGACAATACACCGGTCCCTCGGTACCGCCGGGATTATACGACTCCTTGACTCAACATTACGATACAATACAGTTACGATACCACCTGTGTTCCAAACTTGGCAAAATCAACCAGCTGTACCGCATTGTTTGCGAGTATATTTTATACAACACGAGCGGTAATCCGCTTAGAAACACCGTCGTACAATTGCGTCGATTAAAGGAGGACTATTTAAACTATTACATTAAACTTGGAAAGTCGGAGCTGTTCCTGGTATAACGCGACACGATTCTCTTGATCTTCTGTCATAATTGGACCGCGGATCTCTGTGCAAATTCTGAATTTAAAATTGTAATTAAGGAACGGCTTTCTTTATTCTACTAAACTTTTACTCGCTCTAAATGGAAACTAATATTTTACTAATACTAATATTAATACTAATACTAATACTAATATATACTAATACTAATACTAACACTAATACTAATACTACTATTAATACTAATACTAATACTGATATTAATACTAATAATTAATTTATACGTTTCGTGGAAATGCAAAAATCTGCACGTGTTATACATACGTAACGATTTACGGCTAATTACGATACGCGAAACTATTTAACCTATTTAATAAAATAACGACATTGAATTTGCCTTGCCATAACCCTTGTATTAGGGTTATTGAAAGCGCATGCAGAAAATTTACTGTAATCTATTATGCCATAGTTTAAAAGCGAAGGTTTTCTCGTCACCGCGAACGAACGTATTTCACAAAAACCTGAAAAATTACATAAACATTGCTATCTAATGCACGCCGGACAGACTTTCGACTCGAATGCTCGTATCCATCCGCATTTGACCTGGTGCTCGGTGGCCGAGGTCGGTAACAAACGGTCGAAAACTGCCGAGCCACAACATAAGAGTTAAACAAATTGCATTGTGTTCCAAAGATATATTTCGAGGCGTCGCAAAGGCGAATAAATTTTACGGGATACGTCCATTCGGGACGATAAATCAGCCCGAAAACGAGCATACAATCTCGGGCAGGTCTCGCGACAAAATAACGGACGATGGCACGGCAGAAGGGGAGGAGAGAGGGTAGAATATTATGGGGGCGGAAGGAAGGGTGGAAAAAGGTCGGCGTGCCGGGAGCACCGTATCCTTTTCAGCGGAACCGCCGCGTTTAACGCGACTATTTATTCTCTTGGCCGTCGACGAATTTCTTTCTCTGGCTTCGTTTTAAAAAGCGACCGGGGCTCGCAGGGGGGGGAGGCTGGCAACAGGGCGAGCTTGCTGCCTGCGCGGAGACCGCGCGGGGTGCAAGGGGCGACGGGGTGCTGGAAACGCGAGAGGAAATTCCAGGCACGACCAGCGTCGTCCCACGGAAACGGGGCCCGGCGCTGCACGTAATTTCATGAAGTAGTTAGGTCTCGACGGTGTTCCAGGCGGCTGTGTGTTCTCTCGGCAGCGATCGCGCGCGCGCGACATGTTTTCTTTTTCGCTTCGAGGCTCTTCCTTACGGCCGGCCGATGAAACAGAACGGAGAACTCGAAAGTAAACCGACGAGCCTCCCTCGAAAATGCAAATGCAATTTAGCTCCGACAACACCGGTTTTACAAGCGCCGGCCGCGCCGCGAACCACTCCGCGAAAGGCCGACCGATCCTCCCCTGATTCCGTCCCTCTGGTTCTTTTGCAGACGCTGCCGCTTGCGAATTAAGCACGGTCATCGGGGACTTTTGTTAAACTGTCGCCGCAACCGAGAAGAATGGAACGCGCCGGCTCGTTTGTTCCTTGAATAAATGGTGAGTCTTCGGTGCTTCGTTTTTCAGTGTGATACGCGCTCCGGACACGGGGAAAATGGGATCTCGCGCAGGCATCTTCGTTCGCGGGCTGTTTCAACGAGTTAAAGTACGTTCAATTTTTCTGCTTGCTTCGGAATACGAGCGGGAAATAATACACAGGGTGTTCAATTTAAATGTCTCGAAGATAACACATTCTTGTAAAAATTGTTTCACTCCACGGTTTATATTCTTTTTTCGCGTAGAATACAAATTGTAAATAGAGAAACACGTTACACAATTTACAGTAAAAATAGTACAGAGTTACCGTCAGAATAATCTCGAAAGCGATCAACAACAAGCAGTTAACAAAAGAATAGTTGTACTCGCTGCTTAAAATCGAGTAACTTTATTGTGTAAGATTTTTTCTCTCCAGAAATATGTTGCTTTCAATTTAAAATTGAGATTACCTAGACTCTGCGGATTTTAAATCATAGAAATGTAAAATAATATTCAAAAAAGTGTCATCCCTGTAAGAATATCCGAACGGATTACCATTTTATTCCGCGCTGTACGTCGAGTTAGTATAATCCAGTGCGTCGAGGAATTCGTATCGCAGAACTGCCCCGATCGATACGCTCTTCGGGAAACGAATCGCGATTATCGAATAAAAAGGAATACAGAAATTATTCCGTTGCTTGAATCGCGATTGTCGCTTAGCGTGCGAAGCGTGCATCAATTGTCAGAATTCGTAAGAAACTTTGTTTTAGAAACAGCCTCTCCACCGTTTTCAGTATTTCCACGGTACGGCGGGACTTCTGGAAAATTTATATCGCGAACTTTCAGGAATCGACTGCGCCGAACAATGCGGACGCAATTAAATTGCGACACCCTGTATTGTTTACTGCCCCGGTAACGACTCGCTAAATGTTCAGACGTTTTTATTGTTCCCAATAAAAACCGGCACGCCTCGAGGAGCTCAAAGCGAGGTTGCCACTTAATTTATAATGGCGCCATGAATTCTTACGATTTTCCCGATCCGCCGGTGAGAAACTCGTATCGCCGTCTTAAAAATTACGAAACGCCTCGACGTTCCTTGCAAAGCGAGTCGTAAACGGCACTCCATGAAATTCTTCTTTCTTTTTATCCTTAAACTTAATTAAGCATCGACGTCGAAACAAGCACGACGCTTCGGACGATCGCGAAATATAGCGCGAGATAATTTAACCGTGTTAGCGCCGTCGTGTAATTGCTCGATTGAATTTTGTTGAAATTAATTACGTCGATACCTTTAATAATTTGATCCAGCTTAGGCACGCGATAAAGCGTACGGATAAAGCGTAGACCTAAACTAAAGTGTGCTTTATATGTATATAATCAGTCACACACTGTGATATAACATAGAAGATAAATCACAAAAATATGTCCTCTTTATATAATATAAAGATATACAATTAATATATATATATATTATTAAATATAATCCTCCTCCCAAATTGTCTATTTTTGCGGGCAATCCGAGCGTCAATTCGGGAGACATCACTGTACCCTTGAACGGAGAGCAAGAAGCCCGAAAGTTCACGGAAAATAACCGTAGGCAAGAATATTGTTTAGCAGACGAAGAATGGAAAATGGCATCCGGCCAGATTGCCTTGTTAGAGCGGCCGGCTGAACAAACGGACGTACACACCGCGCGGTCAAGAACAAACCAAGGCTGAACCCTTGGGCGCAAAAGGAAACCGTGGCCGCAATCGAGTCGCCTCAAAACTCCGGCATCCGATTCGTTCTGCAATTCAAAGGAGGTTTCACGAGAATCCTCTCGTGTATTCGGAAGAATTTGGTGGCGGGACGAAGCAAAGTAGAAACCGTTCGCTCTATTTTTCATTCGGCGAACCCACGAGTTGTCGGGTTCTGTCAAGGAGGCGAGGCCGCGTCTGCATTTTAAGCGTGGATTTCAATTACAACGCCTCTCCCACCTCGTGACATAATCTTGGTGGTCACGAACGACCGAGAGAAACCGGCCTCGATGCGGCCAAGAAAGGAAAAAAGCTCGCCCATCGCTTACTGTCGTGCTCCCACGACGATTCCGCATCCTGAATACTTAAAAGGAGTCGCGAACCTCCTTTGAATTGTAAAGCGAACCAAAGCGATACTACCGAACTGGTTTTCGTCCCTCTTACGACGACGGAGTTTCCTTCTTCTTTCTTCCTTTCCTTCGGACGAGCGTCTTTGGTCCTGGAACAAACCCCGGCATGGATTTTAATGGCCCTTAAGGACGGGAACCCTGCCTGCTGCTTCCCTTTGAGTCGCTCTTCCCATAGACCAAAGAATATTTCAGTGCTTTGCCAATCAGGATCGTACGGTACAAATGTGGAACGGAGAAACTGTTTCTTTGTTTCGACGGATATGCGCCGCTTTAATGGAATTAGGTGGGGCAAGCGTAGGTACAGTAATGTCTCCCTTATCGACGCTTAGATTGCGCACGAAAATGGACAATTTGGGGAGAGGAGATACGATTAATTTGAGTCTTGCGCCTCGTTTTATAGTTACGAATTATCAACAACTATAAAAGTGAACTGCAAGACTCAAATTAATCGTATCTCCTCTTCCCACATTGTTCATTTTCCTGCACAATCTGAGCGTCGATTAGGGAGACATTACTGTATTTCACTGCGGTTTTTCAACGAAGGCGAACACCGCTAATTAACGCTATTTCGCGATGCTTAATATTAGATTTTTAACACTTAATATAATGTACATTTTGCATCGCGCATATTTTGCATATGTTCGCGCACATTCTGCAGTTTTTGCATATTTTTTCCGCATAAATGTCACACGCATTTTGCATATTTATCGCGCATAAAAATCCGCAGTTTAATTACAGCGCGGGACAAAAGGATAGCACATTTTGAAATTTAACGTGATTTTTATTTATTCTGCGTTGCAATCGAGATTTTGTTTCGCGTAAAAGTGTACAAAATACCGCTGTAAACGTACGCGAATGAAATACAATTGAATCTCGCCGATTTTATTCGAAGAAAGCAAAATAATTAAAAAAGGAAAATTAGAAGCATCGCGTATCCGGTTATATTCCATTATAAAGCCGTGTGTACGTTCGAATGTTCCCGATCCCATTTATTTATTTAACCAAGTATCACGAAAATTGCAAGAAAATCCAGGTTAAATTCAATCTTGTAATTTTTACCAGGCTTCGCATGTCATTCGCGTTCGTCGCTCCGTACGTTTAGTATTAACTCGCGCTGTGTTTAGCCAAGAGATTACCCGAATCAACTGTAATTCCACCTGTGGATCGGATTCCACGTTCTCCGGAGTGGATACGCTTCGCGTTTGTCGTGCAATGTACATTCAAAATTACGTTAATACGAAATTTGAAAAAATCTGCACCATTTTCGGGCGATGAAATTATTAAATATGGAAAGAAATTTTTATTCGACTGGCAAATACACGTACGGTCCTCTTCCCCCGACCGTTCAATATTTTAAAAGAAAAGTTCCACGCAGCGTCGGACTTCTATTTCGCGTTTTCGAGTCCTCTCTCCTTTCTCTCGCCGCGCCATAAATAACATCGCGACAATGGGAACTTCGGAGAACTCTGGCCTGGGTCAGTCAATAATGATACGTCATTTACCGGAGTTAGCCGGCAGACGACGCGAGGTTCGAACGCGCAGGTGAAAATTCGCGAAGTTAGTTTACCAGAGAGGCAGCGGGAGACAGTTTTCTTTGGCCGCGGCCGACGACGCCCGGCTACGCTGTGACAGATTCATGAAACCGCGCGGCATTAACGGAAACTCCAATTTAATCCGTAGACCAAGCCCGGAAGAACGGGAATAATTTCAATTTAACTTTTTAATTGTAAGGCGACACGGGAGATAGGTCGTCCGCGGCTTATACATTTTGTTGCCCTCCGGCGAATCTGAGAGAGAGAGAGAGAGAGAGAGAGAGAGAGAGAGAGAGCGGAGGCGAACCGGGACCGAGCGTCCTGTAATTTACCGCGAACCAAATTTAATACTGGAAAGCCATCTGTTCGTGATTTCAGTACAGTCGTGCCAGCCGCTCCCGAGGAGAGCTACTTCGCCGTCATTATTTCCACGGAACACTGCTGCACCGCGGAAATTTGAAAAATTTTAATCTTCTGCTCGAGGGCGAACCGTCGCGTCGGTTTCTTTCGGTTACATCGGTCGGCCAAACGAGGAATCTCTTAGGGAAAATTCGTGTAATTTTGTTCGAATTCTTGTCGTCGTTAACTTCTGGCCTCGCTTCGCTTTCTTATCGCGTTCCGCGAATCCACGAATACACCGCGACCATGATTATTATTTATATCATCATTTAGGCACGATTTTTCAACGATTTCTTCGACGATAGAACGAACATGACTTTCTTTTTAATTCTACGGCGTTACAGAGTACAGTAATGTCTCTCCAATTGACGCGCTGATTGTCCAGAAAAATGGACGATTTAGGGAGAGTAGATACGAATTGTCGACAGCTATAAAAATCGAGCCGCGAGGCTCGAATAATCGCATCTCCTCTTCCCAAATCGTCCATTTTTGTGCGCAATCTGGGCGTCAAATGTAGTGGACAGGTAATGTCTCTCTAATCGACGCCTAGATTACGAGATCTATAAAGAAATATAATTCGAGGCACGATTATAAAAACGAGCCGCGGGGCTCGAATAATTTTATATCAACGGTATCATTATTATTATATTATTGTTAGCGCAACACCGAGAATCGACGCGCGCGGGCCGCCGATTTTTTTCAATTTCGTTCAACCCGCCGGAGTAGAGTTCCGAGCAAGAACGAATTAATCTCGCCGCTTGAACGGGGCGCGCGCCCCCCGCATGCCATGGAACACGCGAGCCGGGCCCCGAAAGTACACTTCGGAGCGGGGCCGGTCCAGCGCAGTTGCAAAAAGCAATATTTTCCCGGGGACAAGCGACACGAGTGTTGCCGTGTAACATTACCCCGGGAGCATTGTTTTATGCGTGTTTCGCCGGCACCGCGAA